GAAAACACACAGTCCCTGCACCTGAGTGTGTTAGAGTGTGCCCTCCTCCCTACCAGCCCAAGCTACTTGCTTGACTCAAGGACCTCACTTGTCTCATCTGTAGAATGGGGATCATGAAGGCCTGGGCCTCCTGGGCTGGACCTGAGCATGGGGAGTCCATGCGTGTAAAATGCTCAGGATGACACCTGGCTCCAGCCACATGCTTGGCAACTGTCATCTTTTGGTTGTGTTATAAAGGATTGAGCAAAGCACGGCAGAGGCAACAGACAGAGGAAGTGGCAGGGAGGGAGGGGGCACTGTCAGCACTGCGCTGACACGGGACCTTCGTGCCTCTGGCTGGTCTAAGGAGTCACAACGTGAAGAGCAAAATGAGATGAGCCTCGCGGTACTTAATGGGGCAAAGGCAGGAGGACTGCATGTTCAAGTCCCACCTGGGAGACTTACCCAGACCCTGCCTCAAAAAGGGGGAATCTGAGGATGCAGCTGGTTAGAGCACCTCAGGTTTGGTCCCCAGCATCTCCAAAAATGATCAAAAAGAGAGGACATCGTGTGCACAACTGAAGAAAAGGAACAGTTTTCCAGATTAACAGTTTTGCAGTTTGAGAAATAATAGGTTGGCCAACTGGACCCGAACACTTCAGTGGATAAAACTTATAATCACCTGGTTTGAGTCAGTTTCTGGCCCCTGAATTTAGGTCAGTCCTGTTCAACTAAAATTATATTCTTTTCATAGAAAATCCTTGGTCTTATGGTTACTTGGCTGGAGAATTCACAGGGTATCTACACTGAGCTTGCAGATCTATTCTGTGCCCGAATTAAACAATATCTACTTTAACCTCATTTGTGACTTTTTTGGTTTATAGGTGATAAGAACGTCACCCCCTGCATGGGATTGGGTGAGTTAATACACTTAAAGTGTTTAAAACAGATGGCAATGCCTTAGGCAATGTCCTGTGTTACAGTCAGCTTGGGGATCTGTAGTGGAAAATGACAGCTTGGAGAGACTCAGTGTCACTGAGCAAACAGAAACACTCAAAGTCAACATGACAATGTCAACAGAGTTGGCGGAAAGTGTTCAAGCCAAAGTCTGAGTTGGGCAAGCTCTAAGGGCCATGGCTGTCTGCTGTCTGAGCCACCCACGGGGCTCAGATTTGGAATAACAAGCCCCAAAGGGCCCCACGAGTGGACGGATCCTGCATATCCGGCCTGTGGTCCAGAAAGACTCTTGTCACCACCAAGCCCTCCTCTTTCCTCTTTCAAGATTTGGAATAACAAGCCCCAAAGGGCCCCACGAGTGGACGGATCCTGCATATCCGGCCTGTGGTCCAGAAAGACTCTTGTCACCACCAAGCCCTCCTCTTTCCCCAGGGGAAGCACCAGTGCCTTTTGTGGCACAGGAGAAAATGAAGACGGGCCTGGAGATCATGTCCTAGAGACATGAGCTTCAAGAAACATGGCAGGGACAGGCCCGTGCTACTGAGCAAGTTTCCCCCTCCCCAGCCCGGTCCGTGGCAGCACATCAATGTGCGAGAAAATGTCTTGCTTGTACCCATTTGTGGTTTCACTTTGTATTTAAGCAAACAAACCCACAAAATGGAAATAAACTTGTAAATTATTTGTCATCTTCAGAAAAAAAGAAACATGAGGGGGGAAATCACTGCACAGAGAAAGAGATCATGCAAAGGGGCTCCTCTTGGCCAAAAGGTGACAATTTGACCATCAAAAGGGAAATCATGTTCATAGTTGACTAGGACAGGTTGACTCTCTTAAAAGCTGCAAGTTCATCATGGCCACCCTAGTCCACAACATAAGTGCAAAGTTAAAATGCCAAAAGGTTAGTTGTAATGAAACAGTAGGTTCACTGATTTGAAGAAGGGGGTGAAGCTACAGATGTGTCTTTGGTTCCTGCTCTCACTGCACTGTCATTCCCTTGCTTCCTGTACTGAGTGAGGGTGAGAAGTGAACACAGGAAGCTGCCGTGGTTCAGGGCAAAGCAGGAATGGGCCCCAGACAGGAAGTGGCCCGGTGGGGTTATGCACCAAAGGACAAAGAGTCCTCAGGATGTTTCAAGTGGGTCGATTTGTAAGATGCAAGGAGGAAGAGAAGCAAGATGCTAACTCAACTCCTCTTTAAGAAAATCAAATCTGAATATCCAGCTTTAAATGAGCTAAGGGAAGACGGATGCAGTGGCCGCTCTGCTGACACAGCAGACTCTGTTAACCTGGTGCCTGCACTGCGTTCAAACCTCACAGCAGTATGTGAGGAAATGACACCGCTCTGTTTCACAGAGGGGGAAACTGAGGCTCAGAGAACCCCTGCCCTGCCTAGCTTCAGGCACCCCACGTCTGCCCAGCACACATGCTCAGAAAGATGCTAAGACACCTGGCCCTGTGCCTTCAGGAAGCAGCAGGAGCACAAACCTGCAAGAGGTAGAGCGATAGCCCTTGGGATAAATGGCAGCTCAGGACTGAGGAGCCACTGGGCGCAGTGCTGCTTCCCTCCCTGGAGCCCCCCAGCAGATTTCCTGCTCAGATGCCAGGCTGCATTAGAAAAACTCTCCAAGCTCAGTGCTCATCCCCATGGGTCACTCGTTTTCTGTGTGGACGGGGCCATCATGTGCCGGGAGTGCTTCTGAGCTCCTCTCTGCCCTGGTGAAAATGACTTATTTCTACTTCACAGGTGAGGAAACTGAGGCACAGGGTAGTTAAGTGGCCTAAGATGTCATAGAAGGAGTGGTGGAGGAGAGGCTTAGCTCAGTCTCTTAGTTTCAGTCCCAGACCCACACCACCCTCCACTGATTCTGGAGGGAGACACAGGTACCCCCACTCTCCCAGGAGTTCTGCCCCGGGGCAGCTGCCCCAACATCCACCGTCATTCTCCCCAGCAGCCTTCTGTCCTCAGTCTTGGATCTGCTGGCTCAGGACCCCTTGAGCTCCCCATCCCTACCCATTCCCTGCCGCAGACTCTAGGCCTCTGCACTTACCTGTTCTCCAGCTAAGATCATCCCATGATGCATTTCCTCTCAGGGACCCAGCACAGCTGATGCAATAGAGAGTCCAGAGGAATCAGCAGACCAGACTTCCCCACTGTGTCCTGGGGCCTGTGGGTCAGTACCCTGGAGACCAGCCTGGTCACCCCCTACCCTGGAGGTTCTATCTTTGTTCCTATTCTAACCTTTCTTCCCATGGTGGGTTTCCCAGTGGATCAAGGGCTGAGCATAGAGTCCTTGACCCAAAAGTACAAATCCCCCAGGTACAAGCCCCTCCCTTGTCCCAGCAGCTCCCACTCTAGGCCACCCTCATTCCCCTTCAAATGGCCAGGCACCCCTTGGGATCCCCACCAAGCCTGTGACACATTGCCACACCATACACATAGATGCTCCATAGCCTCGGTGCTCCACTGGGCAATTCAGGGAGGTTCTGTCCTCCTCACTCTGCACCAAGCCCACGAAACCTACCAAGGTCCCGGTGCCCATCAGGATCCATGCCAAGAGGCTGACACTGTCACTCTTAGCAGTCCTGAATCAGTGGGACTACTCCACTGTGGGTGAGGGGACAGTTGCTCTTCAGGGCCGGTGTGGGAGATGTCCTGGGTCACACAGCCTGGACAGAGCAGGTACGGCAGGTGGCACACAGAATTGCCTGGGCCAGGAAGGGCCAGCCTGGCATCTGCCTGGCAAAAGGTAAGGCCCCTTCCTGCTCCAGGCCTTTGCCCTCCTGGAACTGGTGCCATTGCCAGCCAGAGCTCCCTTCCTCCAGGTAGAGCCATGCAGGTGGGGAGCTTGGGCTGCGCATGGCTGGCCTGTGCACTGCAGCCCAGGAGCTGGCCAAGGAAGTGGGATGAACCTACTTGCAAGGCCACCAGGAATCCCAGGCAGAGGGGCCAATGGGCAGCCCCCAGGCCACCTGAACAGGCTGAGTTTGGGAAAGTAGGGAAGATGGGGTGCCAGCCCCAACAGACTCCACTGTACAGATGGGAAGAAGGAAGCGCAGAGAGGGTGACATGTGCACAGAGGTACAGAGGGCCAGGCTCCTGTCAACCTGGTGAGTGAGAGAGCTGCACCCTCAGCTGTTCAGCATGGAGCCGCTCAATGTATAAGGGTGTCCGGGTCTGTCTGAGGCTTTGAAAGGGTTGAAATCAAGTAGGGACCTATTAGCCAACCCTGCACCCCACTACTCAGCGAGCAGCAGCAGCAGCGCCCCCAAGGCTTGGATCAGCCCCGGGTGGAGCCATGTTGCCAAGGAGAATTCAGAGGCCTGGGACCTGCCAGAAAGGGAACCTGCTGGGGCTTGGAGCAGCTGGGTGGAAGCAGGATAGAGGGCTGGACAGAGCCAAAGACAGAAGCTACTGTGCCTGGCACTTTCCCGAGGGATTTCCAACCCTCTGTGATGCTGATGAAACACCTCCTGGTTCAGAGAGGTGAAGCCATTTGCCTGGGGAGGCACAGCTTTCTTTAGATTTACTCTTCTGGCTCTAGTCTGTCCCAAGAGTGCCCTGTGCCAGCCTGTTGTACCTCGCTCCATTTTCCTGTAGAGGAAAATCCAGAGGATTTTGTTATCTAAATATGGCTGAGTGCTTTTTGGAAAAGTAGTCTCCCTGTTCTGGGCCTCGGTTTCCCCACCCGTCACAGGGACTCATAACCCACTGTGACTCTCCCAGGGTGGGAGAGAGTCCTCAGCACCTGGCATTTCAAAGCAGCTGGTTCAATAAATGACAGATTTGCTTCCGGTAGGGCAGCCACCGAGGCCTCCCCAGTGAGGGTAGCGATCCGGCAACGTGGCACCATCCCAGGGCCTGTGTGACTCAGGCCAACCACACGCCTGGGGGCAAGACGCTGTGGCGTGGCAGGTGAGTCAGGTTGGGTCATGGAACTAGGGCCGCAGCTGCCGGGAAGAGTACAGGGCAGGCAGCGTGGGTGGCAGCTCAGAGCCGGGCTGTGAACTTAGGCCCTGTGTGTTTGCTCCCCCAATAACCAGGAGGTAACCCTGGTTAATATTCACTAGCAGCCGCCCCGTCGCCCCTCTGCATCGCTGCTTAAATAACAGATGAGGACAGGGCTCTGTCTCCTCAGCTTACACCTCCACCGCGGCCTTGGGACAGAGTCGTAAGTATGCCTTTCCCATGCCTGTACCTGCGGAGGGACGCTGGGGCCTCTCCATCTCTGTACCGCCTGGGTCCTGGAGGGAGGGATGCTGGTGCGCCTCCTGCTGTCATAGTAACGCGGCCGTGAAGGTGCTTTCCTGCTCCTGGAGCCTGGCAGAGACCTCTTGGTGAGGAGAGGAGGAGAGAGAGTGGTACTGGGGAGCCAAGGTACAGCCACAGCGGTGACAGGAGCAGAGTTCTGTGTGCCCAGCTCCTGCTTTCCAGGGTCTTCCTTGCCCTTGTCAGCCTCCACCTCCTCGCTGTCTGGGTGCAGACCTTTCCCTTCCGGAGATGAGGAAGGAATTGGGGCCAGAGAGGGAGGGGAGGAAGCCAAGTTCACACCCTCCTCCTCCCAGGTGCACCGAAGCCTGACCTCAGGTCCTCCTCTGGGCAGCGACCTCTGTGCGCTCCCTGCGCATGCGCATGTGAGGTGGGACGCCCCCTAAAAGGGCTCGGTCCTGGGGCCTCCGAGCTGGTGCCCTGAGTCGTCATCAGGCAGATTTGGGCCGTCTCCAACGCCGGTGCCCACGCTCATCTATTTGAGCCTCACAGCTGCCCTTGGAGGTGCTTGCTATGGTTACCATTTTATAGCTGGGGATGTTGGGAACGGAATGGTGAAAACCTTGCTCCAAATCCCACACCCTGACCTTGGGTCTCAGCCCGGGCTATGGAGCAGGAAGCCTGGGCCACCCCTGGGGCCCCTCTGATGCTATGTGACTTCAGGTAGTTGCTCAACCTCTCTGCCCAGTTGGGCAAAACAAGATAGCCTTTGCCCTCTTCCCCTCAGCCCAACCAACCTTGGTCTCTGCAGAGTTGGAAAGAGCTGACTTTTCTATCGCTGGTTTTTGGAGACAGGGCTCGAATGCGGCCAGTTTCCCATACAGCTCCGAGCACAGATCCCCAGCATTGTTAATAACAACTGGCTCTTCCTGAGCACTGAGAGGCATTCTTGACACTGAGTGCATATTTAGTTTGCACAATAGCTCTATAAGGATGTTTGGAGGCACCCTACCATCTCCAGGAAAATGAAGTTCAGAGAGGTTGAGTAATTTGCTCAAGGTAACACAGTGAATAGAGAGCTGGACTCAGCAACCCAACCTCAGGGTCTGCTGCCTCTCTTCACTTAGCCAGGCCACATCTGAGGTTTGCTGACTTCAAGAGTGAACATAGAGAAGGGTCAACTGCCTATTTCTGGCATTAAGGGTTAGTTCATAGCTCTGTAGGCAGCTAGCTCTGTGGGTTTGAGTAAGTTGTTTAACCTGTTGAGGCTCAGTCCTCCCACCTGTGAAATGGGACTAATGATAGTCTCCACCTCACGAGGTGAACTGTGAGGGACGTTTAGATGAGACTGCACAGACAGCATGTGATGCTTAGTAAGGGACAGCGACAGTCACACTGATGCCTGTGTTTACTTAGCACAGGCTCAGGCAGCAGGCCATGCACGAGTACTAGGAGAATGGAGGCGTCATTTGCCCGACTCTGGGGCGGGTCCTTGCTGAGCAGGAGTCCCTTCTGTGGCCCCAGGTAATGCAACGACTGGCCAGAAAGAAACCTCAGATCTGCCCATCCTGAGGATGGGCTCCCACCCCTGTTGGCGGCCCCTGCTGGTCACCTGCTGGGCTGTGCCTCTTCTGGCAAAGACTTTCCTCCCCAGGTGCACACAGGAAGGTGTCCTTCTCCAGAAGTGAGGCCCAGAGAGGTGAAGTCATTTGTCTAAGGCTACCAGACAGAAGTGGTGGACTGGGTCAGTGCTGGGTCTCAACAGCTTGGGACCTTGTGCCAGGGTCACTTTCCCAGGCAGATGGCTCTTGGCCATTCATTTTATGCTCCTGGGTGGAAATGGTGGGAGATGAGACCAGGGGGTGGCTCACTTCTGTACCCCCTGCTTCCTGGGTTCCAGACCTGTTCCCGTACCATCCCGTGTCTTGACCAGAAGCGTGGCCTGTGTCCGTACCTGTGGGAGCTTCACCACTGCTTTCTGCTCCCCTGCTCTAGGCTTAGGGGCGCCGGGGGCCACCTTGGATATAGGCCAGGGTCCTGGGCTGCTGAGGTTTGAAAGAACAGACGGTGTTGGAGATCAAGGTCAGGCCCAGTTCTGCCATTCATGGAGCCTGAACCCTGAGGATACAGCTGTCTCCGCCTGCAAACTGAGCGGTAGGAAGTGCCAGGCCCGTTCCAGCAGGTGGTTCTTAGGGGGCTGCAGACCAGTGGTTCATGGCCTGGACACAGGCAGAGTGGAGGGTGCTCTGTGGGCAGGCAGCTCTGCGTTGCTGTGGGGATGCTCTGATGCCCTCACTGGTTCAGCTGGGGACAGTGCAGTCTCAGGTGCTGTTCAAACCAAGTAGGTAGCAGTGGCACTGCCCACAGCCTCTGGCTCTGAGGCTACTTGGCATGGTTCATGTCCTCACCCTGCTGTGACTCAGCTCCCTCCCTGCAAAGATGGGGAATTTCCATAGGGCTGTACCAAACTCCAGATGAGAAAGAAGGAAAAATCTAAGGGTGATGGAAATACACATAACTGTTTTCAGCTGTCCGCACCAGCTAGTAAAAGAAAAATACAAACATGTATTATGTATAAATCCCAGGAAAAAAGGTGGTAGAAAGAAACCAGTCTTCTTCTTCTTCTTCTTTCTTTCCTCCTCCCTGCCCCTCCTCCCCCTCCCCTCCTCCTGCTGCTGCTTCTTTCCTCTTCTTCTTCTGTTTCTTCTTCTCCTTCTTTCTTCTGCTTCTTCTTCTTTCTTCTGCTTATTCTCCTTCTTCTCCTTTTTCTTCTTCTTCTCCCTCT